AAGTCTCAGATTTATTGTAACGAAAGTTACATCAATTTCGGGTTTCAATTTTAGTGAAAGACAGTGTAGTTGCTTCTGGTGTTTCTTCAGACCGCTTTCTTTAATAAATTGGTTTTCTAGCACGCCACCGAGTGACTTTTTGGAGATATAAAGATTCTGTTGCTGGAGATCGCCAGTTGATCGCTGTGGATTTCCCTTTTTCAAATAAAAAGCTCATTAGTGAGAAAGGTGAGAAATCGCAGAACAGTATATTTGTTCATTTATTCATTTATTTGTTAATCTTTTTTAAATATGTTTTTTTGTTAGCTCAGATAGTTTTTTACAAAGTAATTTTTACAGGTATATTCCAAGTAGACCTTGAAATCGAAAAAGTGAAACTTTTGGAAGATGGCGTTTCTGTAGATATTGGTGAAACCTTGGTCTACCAAGCTTTAGAGTAATGTGACTTTTCAATTCTTTGATGCGGATGTTTCTATCGCTGAAATGAAACCTTACACTGGTTAATAGGTTGGGTATTTTAAAACGATTTTTTCTTGAGTGCTTTCCGGCGTGTCTTACTCGTGTTGTTTACTGAATCTTTTTATAAATAGAAATATTGTATTGGGCAGCCTTTCTAAAATAGTGTCAAAGGCTTCTGTGGTTTTTCAAAAATATTTAAAATTGCTGCATATGTGCAATATTTCAACTTCTGATCATTATAAGTTGTTTTGGATAGTGTTTACAAGCGGTAGAATTCTGCATGAATTGTTGGTTCTTGTTGTTGACGACCGTAGAATTGTACGATGCATCGTCAGTTGTTTATTCGAGGCCGGAAACATGACTTCTGCTGTTGTATTTTTTGTTGGAATTAGTAATCCCTACAAATCCGCATGTTAATTGCAGATAAAAAGTTGTTGTACTTCCAAAGTTAGGGATTTTTGATAAGCAGGTGTTCTCTCAATGTGATAATTTATTTTATTAGCATCTGGATTCGTAGTTTATGCGCGTGGAGTTATGAATTTTGTCGAGGTGGTGAATAATGTCACATTAAACGCCTTCTGATCTGCTCAGCTTGGTACTTTGGCAATATCATTTGTTAAGAAAAACAAACTATATGTCATTGTGAGGAAGTTACTCTTAATTTTTTTGGCGTAGGCCTGTAGGAGGATTCTGTTTTTTCGAAGTTATCTGGTGCTTCTAGAATTTCTTCCTCTTTTTCCTACTTATCTGTTAGAATTGGTAGTTTTTGGTTCCGCCAGTAATGACATCTTTTAATAATATATGGGGAATTCAATTCCGTTGGGGTTTGTGAATTAAAAGAGGAAAAATTATGGCAAATTGGTAACTTTTAGCTACATTTTGGCGAGCAGGGTGTTTGATGAGGTTTAATACAAAACAGTAGCGCTTCTTAATTTAGTTTTCATGAGAACACATGACGAAGAGCCGTGTTCTAGCGGGTCTGTTACACTTATGCAGCAGGTATTTGCAGCTACTTCAGGTGCGATAATCACTTCACTAACAAGTAAGATGATTAGGTTTTAGTACAGCAGTTTTTATATTGGATGTTAATTTACCAACTTTATTAACTTATGGCTACAAGTTTTTTACAGTGACCCCGATGGACGTTGTTAAGATACGTCTGCAACAGCAGCAGCATCCATTCGTGAAAGGAACGTGTTTTCTTTACCATAATGGTCTCATGGACCATCTGTGCACTGCTTGCGCTGAAAGTAATGGGAAGGACCCATGCGAATGGTTTTTGAGACCTGGCAATTTCACGGGAACGTGGGTAGGCAAATCTTGAATTCCTGGTTATTGGATCTTGTTTGTTCCTGTGTGCTGTTTTGTGTAACTGCAATCATTTCTTCTTTAAAGTCCTTAGGAACCTTGCATTTTTGTACTACTTGCGACCAGACTGCATTGGCAGCAGAGTTAGGGCGTACTAGATTGTGGTATAAATGCTAAGTTACTGTGGAACATAGCTACTTTTGAGGATCTGTAGACTTATTTAATTGTAATTTTTTTGAAAGTTTTTAAAGCTCAAGGAGCGCATCTTTTAGTTACTGAAATACGCTTATTAGCTCTTTCTATGCGGAAGGTAAAAAGTGACAGAAACAAAAGTGCGAGAGGGGATAGTTTTCAAAACTATCGTTTAGATTTTTTGAGAGGAATTCATTTTTACAAATATCTGTTGTGCAATGTGTTGAAATTACAGTATAGAGTTTTTTCTACATCATGAGTTACGATGTGAAGGGAGGAGAAACTTTTGCGTAGTCACTCTAAATTGCCACAGCAATATTCACTCCATATTAAAATTTAAATGTTACTCTTCTAGCTGAAATATCCATATTGTCTTAAACTGAACTGTTAATTTTTTAATTATCCTTTTATCTATCAGCAGTGATCGAAATGAACCGCTCAAATTATAAGACGCTTAAAATCTGGACCTAAGTGAAAACTGTATGGGTTTTTGCCTATCGGATGTGCACTGCATCGCTTTATTGCTTAATTCTTACGTTATATAGGCGTTACAGGGAGTAAATAACAGCTTCTGATGACGTTTGAGGCGCGGTCAAAACGCTTCCCTCTATGTCGTTTGTGACTGGTTGGAACTTTAAAGCTGCTATTGATGATTTTTTCAAACAGTAATCGTTGGAGAGTTTGTCTCTGAGCATTGTTTCTAGCGAATGTAGTTTTTTTCTGCTTCCTGTTATCTATCCACCCACCTATTGCCAACTCGTTTGTTTTTAGAAGCAGTAACACTGCTAAAGTTCGTTGAAAGTTTCCCTAATTATTAAAATGTAGGAGTTTCATCTGGTGTTTCTAAAAATAAAAGGAAGCAATTTGGCTAAGCAAAGCTTGTTGCGACGTGATTATTTAGTCCGGAAGAGCGCGGTTTAAATCCTAAAATTGCTTGAAACTACTCTTCAGACTCAGTCAATGACACTGTGCGCTTTTCTCCTACTTGACAAATCATAATTCATCCCGCAAAAAAAATGCATTGTAAAATTCTTATTTCTTCTAGCAAAAATACACCAGTTTTTTCTTTGTCTAGTAATTTTTTGAAGTACTATCACCCGATGTTTCGTTTTTGTTATGATTCTTAGATTTTTGTTTAAAAACAGAGGGACAATTAGTTTCTTACCAGTTTATCCCAAGCGCAGAGGGATGTATTATTTTGTAAAAATTCTTTTACAGTTGGTTACAGTTGAACAAGATGATGCTCATAAGCAAACCTACACTTGGCAGCAACTAACGCATCTTTTATAATTTAGCGCTACTTCACTCTGCCACTAAAAAGCTGCTTGGTCTAAGCTTTTTTAATCTTGAAATCAAAATCTAAGGTCCACAAGTCGAAACAATTTAAAGGAAATTTTGCGAAGAAATCAGCGGAATTTAAGTTTTTCCCTTGTCAAAATAGACCGCGTTTGAATTTCCTTATCTCAGCTCACAAGCGAATAGGTAGCACAGTTAATTGCTAGCTCGAAGCAATGCAGAAGGCGACCGCTGTATGAATGAATTAAAAGAAGAGAATGCTATGGCGAAACACGGAACACTAGTAGCACACTATGAAAGTCGACAAAAACGGAAACGGCTTAGTTAGTTTTAGATTTGAGTAGTGCAAATTCTTGAAGCTCCCAGTTCCTTTAGAGGCAACTGAATGGTAAGTTATGATCATTTTATTCCAACATTCTGTGAGGTTTGGGTTGTTTGAAATTTCCACTGATCCACAACGTTTACATTGTGAACCGTTAGGCGTCGTGAAGATCGTGTGTTTTGCTTCTGCGTTGTCGACGAGAGAATTTTTTTCGGGAGAGCGTTGATTTCGGTAGTTTCACTGCTGTTGCTAATATTACATTTTTTCTTCGGTCACTCCAGGGATATTTTCTTCTAGTCAACTTTTTATTTCTGCTTTCCGAGCGTTTCTTATTTTAGGACGCATTTGTGAAAATATCGAAGACGGAAGGAGTGACATCACTTTGGAGTGGTCTTTCTCCCACCCTGTCAGTTGCAGTGCTGCATTTTAAGTTATTGTCTTTCAATTTTAACCGAGTCTTAGTAAACCAATTTTACTAGAGTATATTCGTATCTGTATTTTGCGACTTTGAAAATGATATTTTACTGAAACCCTGTCATTCAACTTTTCTTCTTGAAGAAAGACTAATTTCACACATTCCAATGGAACTTGGTAATCTTAAGAGTTATGGCAGTACCTGCGACAGTTCTTTACTATGCAGCTTACGACAATATGCTGTTGCGGCTAAAGAAGCGTTACAAACAAAACTCCTTTTGGCTTCCATTAATTGCTGGCATAGGCGCTCGAACTATGGCAACGACTGTGGTTTCTCCGCTGGAGATGATCCGGACGAAGATGCAAAGCGAGAAATTAACTTACTACGGTGCTTCTTGGCGATAAACGCTATCTTCTTTTCAATTTTAAACACTTTCCTTCTGCACCCATCAAGCCTCAGTGATAAGATGTTAATTAAAAGCATTCTCTAGAGATTGGGGAAGCAGTTAGGCGGTCGAAGTCTCTCGACGGTTGGCTAAGTTTCTGGAGAGGATGGGGGCCAACAATAATGAGAGATCTTCCTTTTTCAGGTAAGAAATGATGGCCAAAAACCGAGTACTAATCTGAATCCAGATCTGTATTAGGCAGATGCAGCACAGAAAGTTCTCTTTCTTACGACAAGAAAACCACTAATTTTTCAGCTGTGTACTGGTCCATCTATGAATACCTAAAAGTGAAAGCGATACGGAAGTTTGAGAAGGGATTAACTGTGTGGATCAGTTTCTTCTGTGGAGCTATATCAGGGACCATCGCGGCACTCGTAACGACTCCTTTTGACGTAGTGAAGACGCATAGACAGGTCACATTTGGCGAGGTACAGCAGATTCTGAACTTTAAAAACAAGGTTTAGGTCTCCTCTGGACTTGCGTTCCTAGTCATCAAGCCAGAGGACATGAAGACGAACACTAGAATCTCTAAACTCAGAGAACTGTTTTTAGACAAGTAAAAACAATGACCTACCGAGTAATGCAAAGATTGAATCGAAAAGTACCTTCGGAATCTTTAAAGAAATCGTGCACAAGCGCGGCCTCCGAGCACTTTTTGCAGGTAGAAACTTCCAAGTCACTGGAGATCTTACTTTGAAATCATAATTGCTTCCAGGCGCCATCCCTCGAGTGGTGAAAATATCACCGGCATGTGCCATTATGATTTCTTGCTATGAGTACGCAAAGATGTATTTCACGAAGCGCAATCGACAAAGAACCAAGAGTTTTAGTAGCATCGATTGGGACCACGTGGAAGATTACAACTAGGACTTCCAATACAAAACTCAGAGAATGGGGCCACCGCGCTGCCAGTACCGAACGTACAGCACCACAGTGGCGTGGGGTCGTTGTGCCTTCGCTCGCTCTCTTCCTCCACACTGTATCCCCCTACGAGTCGCTCTCATAATGTCCAGGGATGTTTGATAGTTGCTCCTCCAAAATATTTTTACATAGATTGTAATGCAGTGTGTTCGTACTTGTAGGCCAAAAAATAAACTACATGAAGACTGGTTCGTGATCCTATCTCATTTATTCACCTTGAACTCAAGCAACGCCCACTTCATGTGATTTTTGATAAGGAGAGATGGTGAAGTGTTTGCCAGTCTTCGGTGCGCCATTAGCGATTGGGTTGAGGTAACGCGGCATTGTCGCCGCCCTGTGCTGGAATTTGTTGAGACCACAAAACTAACACTCGCAGCGGTGCAACAAGCCTTCTCTTCATGACGGACCTAGGGTGAAACATCGTATATGATTCCCCTAGGAAGACTAAGACAGAGAAGTGAGTGCCACCCCGCCGCGATACATTACGACCTCTGAAAAGTGCCGGAGAAATGAAATTACATTTCCCTGACACACTACGTTGCGTAAACGTAATCATCGAGTGAGCAACAAGATGCAAGTCTAATAACTACTCACCTAAGGAAGTAACCGTCAACAAACAAAACAGTTTATTGGGCAAATGTTGCCAACCCACCAAACAAAAAGAACTGTCAACCAGCTGAGCAATACATGCAATAAGCAACAACAGCAAAAGAAGATGGGTGGAAGGCTTGAGTGATCCACTGTTACAAACGACGACCACGACGGCCGCCCTTCCTCCTAGTGGAGTCAGACGGGATTGGAGTTACGTCTTCAATACGTCCAATTTTGATACCAGAGCGAGCCAACGCACGCAACGCAGACTGTGCTCCTGGACCTGGCGTCTTCGTTTTAGTCCCTCCAGTCGCACGTAATTTAATATGTAATGCATTGATCGAAAGCTAAAAAAGTGGTACAACAGTCAAACAGCCTAAATTATTATGAGGCAAAAAAATATATTAAAAAACAAAATTAGTTTCTTTTAACGACTTCCCAGCAGCCCCAACTTTAAGCGGAAGGACTATGCTAAACGGAATTTTAATGTACTGATCGGGACGCCGTTGTGACACGTACTTAAAAACCTAAGTGAACATATTTGAGAGTCACGGCGGTGACCTACTATTGGCGATAATGAAACAAGTGGAAGACCAATGTGAAGTTACCAACAGCGGATAAGCAAGCATACTTCGGCACAAAAATTTGATTAACAAAAGCAACTTAATGCAGTTTCGCCAACATTACCGCCAGTCTTTCCAAAGCGGTAAGGGTCGATCTCAACTTTTCAAAAAAGCTTTTTTTTTTTTAAAAAAAAAAACTATAAAATTGAGCTACTAAAGTTCGTTTCCTTAAATTTTACAAAGCAGTGATTGTAATAAATCATAAATAGCTGCTATTTAAGAAGAAAAAAAAAAGCAGATAATGAAATTTTATAAAGGGCTTCCTCGAGTTCATATTTATATTTTCAAACTGACTCGAGTATTAAACCGGGCCGAAAATAGCAGTTGTCCTTGAAAAAGATTGCAATAACAAAACTGCCATCTACCCCAGAAATCTAGCAGTAACTGCTCCAAAACGCAAATTTACAAACCCGCTGAGATCACAGCTTAATTAACTAGCTAGAACAGACGCGTATAAATAAACATTTCCGGGCATATGGTAAAAAAAGCTAGCATAAACCACGATAACCCTCAGACAAAGCAGGAACAAACTGTCTCTGAACTACCAGGGGCAAAGAGTTCATTCTAACCAAAAAAACACTGGCAAGATCTTGACAAAAAATTTTGTCTCAATAACAAAAATATAGGCTCAAGCTCACATGGAAAGTCTGTGTCATAAGGCATTAAAACAAATCCAAGAGTACGTTACAAAAGATTTGGCAATTTGAAAGCATTTCCCTCCAAAAATCCGCTACGTGGCCCTTCAAGATAACAAATTTCGTCAAGAAAAAACCTGAAAAGTTTCTCAGACGTGTGGACAACTTGACGGCGATCACTCCCACAAAGTCACCGTTTTAGTGCAACTTTTTATACAATGTGCATAAGGAAGCTTTGCAGAATTGCTTATATAACGACAATGCAAACATTCCAAATGTTAATTTAGCATTCTTCCCTTCTGCAATCTGCCATAAAGACAAATTGAGTACACGTGAATGCTATGCAAAATCCACAGCCTGTTGTTTTAATACAAACTAACTTACAGCTTTACAACGTTCAGCAACGTCTTGAGCAGCAAGCATAGCAGCATAAGGGGAAGCTTCATCACGATCTGCTTTAACTTTCATGCCTCCAGTCACGCGGACAATAGTTTCTCGCCCTGCAATTTTCAAAAAAAAAAACTGCTAAGAAAAAAATTCGTTTAGCGTAGACAGTACCTAATATAAAGCAGTTGAATACATTTGAATGCTACAATTAAGTTTCTTTCAACGCCCCTCCCCTAGCTAGACAGTACGCTTCCAATAAATGAATTTTTAGGGTTTTCAATGACCAAAAAATAATTTTGTCATTTACGCACGTAGGACACATTTAATGTGCCCGTGAAACAGAACTATTAGAAGCAAACTGTACCAAGTCGTTTTCTCTCAATATACCAAAAGATGAAAAATCAGCTGCAAAACTTTTGTAACTCAATCCGTTACCAACGCCTAAAAACTACGTTTCTTGAGCCTCTTTGTCCTTTTATCCCTATCTTTTTAAATGAAATTCAAATGTTACTAACCCCTTTGCAAATACCTAAATCAGATCAACAGTCTCTTTTATACAGTTGCAAAAAACTGTTTTCAACAACCAGTATACAATGGCAAACTGGCTGCTTTGCAAACAAATAAGGTGCAGCCAATCAGACAACTCACCAACTCTCTTCTTACTTGAAGTTCTCAAAATGAATTAAAATGGGTGTACACTGAAAACAAGCAGCGGAATTTAATATTTTTACGCTTCAGCATCACAAGCTTATTCCCGTAATGCAACCACTCATCTTTATAGAGCTTCAACTTAAATAACTTGATAAACAATACAATTTTCAGTCAACAGAAGAATGTCCGTAGGAAAAAGCTATTTATCAGACTTTAAATTCTCCGCTTTACTGCTGCAGTGTTTCTGTGAAAAAGGTTCCCACTCTTGCGAAATCATAGTGAAAAGACGGCTAGGGGCAACCCAAAAATGAAGAAAGGAAGACAATCACTTAAAAAAGGACACCAACCAAAAAAAAGAATGAAGAATTCTGTGCTTAAGCATATTTTCTCGCCTCTTCGTTTATTTCTGAACATTAAACCTGGATTTCTCAAAAAAGTCCTGTAAAAATTTTGTAGCGTTCACACCACTTTAAAATCAAGAATAAAAACTAAGGAAAGATGTTTTTGCTGTATTCCCATCCGATCATTCTTACATAGGGTAAGCAGCAACGGGATGCGCTACGATTCCGTACCGTGAACTTGTTACTGAGCGCACCCAGTACACCTGACCCATTTCTCTTCAATCTTTTACATTAAACAGGTTTTTCACTTTCTCAATTAAACGCTGATTTGAAAACATAAAAGTCACACATCAAAAATTTCGAGCGACCTCTGCACCACAGTTCCAGAAGCAATAAATTGACTATCTTCAACACCCTTCTCTCATGACAAATTTTCATCGTTTTTGCTGCCCACGGAAATTCATCATGCTACTTATGATCTTCCTTTCATGCTTACATGTCTCAGAATAATACAATTATTAAAAGTTAACAAAAAAGTTATACTTAATAAACAAATAAATTTAAAAATGAATAAAAATCGAGATGCGTAGACTATTTCGACTGAAAATGATTGAAAAGCAATCAGCGCTTCCTGAGGAATGTTAGAAATACTTGAAACCACAAAAAATTATGCTTTTTCAATTCATTGTTTCTTCTGCCTTTTATTTGTGCACACATGTAACCAAAAGCTCCACACTCTTACTTAATTGTAAAAAGCCACTACTTCAGCAAATTGCAAAATTGATATTGTCTACTCAAGTTGATCAAAATTTTTGCAAAACCTTACAAGAATAGCTTGTAACAAACATTTTCCATTGACTAACGGACTTACTGTAGGCAGAAAACTGCAACAGACATCATAAAAGTCTTTTTTGGTATATCGGAATACAATTTTATTCAGCTAAAATATCCGCCATAAAAAAAAAAGATACCTCTAGAGAAAACTTGCAAAAACAAGTAATGGCTTAGTCTAGCAACCTAAATAGCGCACCTCAACATTGCTTGCAGTGCCAGCAGCAAGCCAGAACCACAAACCACTGAACAGCAACAGAAATGGCACGGTAGGAAGTATATCACTTTAATGTATACTGGCTCCAATTATCACCGTTCAAAACAATCTCATCAGCCTATTATGCAACTGAAAATTCAATAAAACCCAAAAAATACCACGAAAACAAAACATTTTACAACACTATTAGACTATTTTTCCTTAAATCTAAGGTCTTTGCTAAGCTACTGTTTCAACAGCGACCTGGAATGGAAAACTCTCAAGTAAACTGAAACTGCATTAATTTAAACAGCTTCAACATGAAGATAAAGACTTCACTTTTTTCGGTCAAAAATGAATGGCTACTGAAGGGTGAGCACAGCCAAAATCTCATATATTCAAGCGAACCTACCTTCAAAGATTAACCTACCACAAAAACGCCATTCATTTCGCAACAACTTACTGAAGAAAATCGGATTCAGAAGAAAAAAGACCCTTCAAACACTAAAAATGACTGGTTTTACGTCGTTGGGAAGCTCAATTTTAGGCTTACCTCATCCTATCAAAAGAAATAAATTACATACATACACTTAAAAATGAACAGAGATAACGAGTAAAACTCCTTCACTTCTTATATTTCTCAAAGAGTATGCTCAATCCATTAAAGAACCATCACTTCCCGGTAACTAGTAAACAATGAGAGATCAACATCCTACCTAATAAGTTTTGAAAAACCCTTCTCTTCTTAAAAAACCGCTCGACTAGAAGACACGTGACTCCAATTTTTAGCCGAGCAACTAATCCTGATAAGTACCAAAAGAACAAATATCAAATCTTCTAAATGTTTGAAAACTCAATATCAAGCCTTTTCTCATTCGAGTACCAACAGCAGAGCTGCAGCTGCCGAGAGCGGCTAAGCCAAGGATACCTTTCTGACACATCCCTAAACCCTCCTGGCACAGATGAGCGATTGAAAAAACACTCAAAAATTGAAAGAGTTCCGATTAATTACTTGTAATTAAGCAGACGTTACTCTAATACGAATCTAACATTTTAACCTTCACTTCTAAAAGTTCTCTAAAAGATTTACTCGAAACGAAAACAGTTTCATGCTTACTCACTACCAAAAATCTTACGATTAAGCCTAACGTACTAGATTACCATACAAACATCGAAGCAGATCGCCTGAATAAGCTTACATAAAATTCGGAATTGAACAAAGGTTCTACACATACGTATGATAAAAAATGTCAACATAGCCACTCCGTAGTATGTTTTCCAAAGCTTCTTCACTTACAAGCCCAATCTTCCCACACTTACCACAAAAGTCTTCCCTACAAGATTTAAAATATTCCACTCAAAAACAACATCACTCTTCCAGCAATGCCACTCGGCTAACCCGCTACTATAGTTATTTAATGAAGCTAAATTTTTCATAGCGTCAATTAAATCCCCCAGTTATTTTACATTGCCAATTCCGAACCAAAAGAATTTCAAAAATGTATATACTTTTGAAAACGAAATATTTTTT